ACCGGTCATTAGAGAAATGCAAATCAAAACCACATTGAGATCCCATCTCACACCAATTAGAATGGCGATCATTAAAAAATCAGGAGACAACAGATGCTGGAGAGGATGTGGAGAAATAGGAACACTTTTATGCTGTCAGTGGGAGTGTAAATTAGTCCAACTATTGTGGAAAGCAGTGTGGCAATTCCTCAAGTATCTAGAAATAGAAAATTCCATTTGACCCAGCAATCCCATTACTATGTATATTCCTAAAGGATTATAAATTGTTCTATTATAAAGACACATGCACATGAATGTTCATTGCAGCACTGTTTACAGTAGCAAAGACTTGGAACCAACCCAAATGCCCATCAAGGATAGACTGGATAAAGAAAATGTGGCACATATACACCGTGAAATACTATGCTGCCATAAAAAAATCTGGAAACCATCATTCTCAGCAAACTGACACAAGAACAGAAAACCTAACACCACATGTTCTCACTTATAGGTGGGTGTTGAACAATGAGAACACATAGACACAGGGAGGGAACATCACAAACTGAGGTCTGTTGGGGGACCGGGGACTAGGGGAAGGATAGCAGGGGGTAGGGAGATTGAGGAGGGATAACATTGGGAGAAATACCTAATGTAAGTGATGGGGGGATGGAGGCAGCAAACCACCATGGCATGTGTATACTTATGTAACAATCCTGCAAGATCTGCACATTTACCCCAGAACTTAAAGAACAATAAAAATATATTTTTTTAAAAAGAAAAAGAAAAGAACTTTAATGGACTCACAGTTCCACATGGCTGGAGAGGCCTCACAGTCATGGTGGAAGGCAAAGAAAGAGCAAAGGCATGACTTACAGGGCCACAGACAAGATAGCATGTAGAGGAGAACTCACCTTTATAAAACCATCATATTTTTTAAGACATATTCACTATCATGAGAACAGCACAGGAAAAACTCACCCCCATGATTCAGTTGCCTCCCACCAGGTATCTCCCACAACAGTTAGGGATTATTATAATTCAGGGTCATATTTGGATAAGGACACAGAGTCAAACCATATCAGCCTATTCACCATAATGGTATTCTATAGAAGATTGCTGTTGATCAAGAGATTTATTTTATACTAAATGGCCAGGTACAGAGGCTCATGCCTGTCATCCCAGCACTTTGGGAGGCCAGGGTGGGTGTATCACTTAAGCCCAGGAGTTTGAGACCAGCCTGGGAAACACAGCGAAACCCTGTCTCTAACCTCAAACCAACCCCCAACTAAAAAAACAAAAATTAGCTGGGCTTGGTGGTGTGCAACTGTAATCCTAGCCACTCAAGAGGCTCAAATGGGAGGATGGCTTGAGCCTCTCCAGAAGGCGGAGGTTCAGTGAGCAGAGATCATGCCACTGCACTCTGGCCTGTGAGATAGAGTGAGAACCTGCCTCAAAAAAAAATAAATTAAAAATAAAAATAACTACTTATTATATGTGAAAACAAATGAAATAATGACGTAATGACCATGGGATTACCTGGTCTTAACACATACATAAACTCCCATACACAGCTGGTCTAATAGAATAGTGGAATGGCATAGTGTAGACTCAAATATTGCTCTCATGAGAAATAAGATCTTCATTCTCTGTATTTGGAAATGAAGATATGGGAGTGGAAGCAGCCCCTCTTAGTTTTATACCTAATTACTCACAAAATTTCTGCCTTCTGTTCTCACAACCTTGAGCTCTGTTGTGTTGGAAGTAAGGTGGCTAAGAAAGAAATGCCTCCAGCAGAGTAGAAGGTATTTTCATTAAATAGGAAATTAAGACTGAGTATTTGACATTTACATTTTGTCTAGAAAATGTGCATAACTACAAATCCTCTAGATTGGCATCTGTGAAGACGATAGTAATATTAATAGAAATCAGTGGGAATTGAGGTGGATCCTCCTCTACTTAATGTATAAACACTAAGCTCTAATTGCATAGAAGGTGACTAAAATTTTGTTGTGACAGATTTTATAGCAAAACAATACAAGCTGTGGGTTTTTTTTTCTTATGACCTTTCAGAATATTTAGGAAATCCATACAGAGAGTATTTAACACTCAGGTTTACCTTCTAAGGATATATAGAGATGCAAATATACTCAACATTATGAGTAGTGAAATATTACTTAAAGCATAGTGGTTTAACTACCATGGCAAATTTGTGTACCCATGAGGATCAATTGACTCTACAACCTGTGACTGAGACTAACAGATAACTGTTCTTTTTTTATAACTTTTAACTTTTATTTTAGATAGAGAGGGTACATGTGTAAGTATGTTTATTATATGAGAAGACTGCATGATGACAAGGTTTGGAGTATGGACCCTGTTATTCAGACAGTAAGCATAGTATCTGGTGGTTATTTTTCAACCCATGGCTCCCATTCCTCTTTCCTCCCTCTGATGGTCCCCAGTGTCTATCATTTCTGTGTTTATATCCAGGTATCTTCAATGTGTAGCTCCCACTTAAAAGTGAGAACAAGCACTATTTATTTTTCTGCTCTTGCATTAATTCACTTAGGATTATGTTGCTGCAAAGGGCATGATTTAATTCTTTTTTATGGCTGCATAGTGTTCCTTGGTACATATGACCACATTATCTAATCTACCAATGATGGGCATCTGGTAGATGATTTCATGTCTTTGTTCTTGTGAATAGAACAGTGATAAAGATACGAGCGTATGTGTCTTTTTGGTAGAATGATTTATTTTCCTTTGGGTATGTACCCAGTAATGGGATTGCTGAGTTGAATGGTAGCTCTGTTTTAAGTTCTTTGAGAAATCTACAGACTGCTTTTTGCAGTGGCTAGACTAATTTGCATTCCCACAAACAGTGGATAAGTTTTCCCTTTTCTCTGAAGCTTCACCAGCATCTGTTGTTTTTTGACCTTTTAAGTGATCAACAAACCTATGAAGTAATTGTTCAGCATCACTAATCATCAGAGAAAGGGAAATCAAAATCATACTCAGATACCATCTCACACCAGTCATAATGGCTATGTTAAAAAGACTGTTAGTTCTTTAACACTGTTTACATGCAGTCATGGTCTGAGGTTTACAATTTAGATAATTTATACTGCATGATCACACTAGAGCTGTAATTTATGTCAATCTCAATAGTTATTTTTCATTTGTTAGAGTAATAGAGTTATTCTGGTATTTTGTTCTAGGTATGAATTACTGTCTTTGTGAGAAATACATTTTACTTTCTCAAATTGTAACTTTTATTTTCGGTCCAGCGGTACATGTGCAGGTTTGTTGTATTAATAAAGTGTGTGTCATGGGTGTTGGATGTGCAGATTATTTCATCACCCAGGTAATGGGCATAGTACCCAATAGGTTTATTTTCTGATACCCTCTCTTCTCCAGTCCTCCTCCCTCAAGTAGGCCAGGCCTATGTCTGTCATTCCCCTCTTTGCCATGTGTTCTCATTGTTTAGTTCCCACTTATAAATGAGAACATATGATATTTGGTTTTCTATTCCTGCATTAGTTTGCCTAGATAACGGCCTCCAGCTCCACCTATGTTGCTGCAAATAACATGATCTCATTCTTTTTCATAGCTGTGTAGTATTTCACTGTGTATATGTACCACATTTTCTTTACTCTGTCTACCATTGGTGAGCTTTTAGGTTGATTCCATGGCTTTCCTGTTGTAAATAGTGAATATAGGCATGCATGTGTATTTATGGCAGAACAATTTTTATTCTTTTGGTTACTACCCAATAATGGGATTGCTGGGTTGAATTGTAATTGTATGTCAAGTTCTTTGAGGAATCAACACATTGCCTTCCACAATGGTTGAACTAATTTACAGTCTCCCCAGAAGTGTATAAGCATTCCCTTTTCTCTGCAAACTTGTCAGCCTATGTTGTTTTTCAGTTTTTCATAATAGCCATTCTGACTAGTGGAAATTTTCTCTTGCCCTGTGTAGTGTTGTTTAATAAATGAGCAGTATTTAAAATAAAATTTATCTCAAAATACTTTAAACAAAGAAGAAATAAAGATGCCCTACTTTGAGAAGATTCAACTCACATTTTTAAGTCTCATATACTCACTCAAAATTTGGAGATAACAATAAAAGTACTTAAGGTAATATACATTAACATGATGACATAGAGTTGGCAGTCAAGCATAATAATTTTATTTTTACACTACCACTCTGTTTTGTATTTTGATTCCGTTTTAAAATTAGTAAAAACTGAACATGCCCCATACTTATGTTTTAGGTCTCTTGCTGTTGATTCTTACAACTGTATTTCAGTTGACTTAATTACTAATTCTAGAGACAGAAAATAAATATAATTTATGATTTGAAACTTTAGGAATTCTTTTTAATGCCAAAAGAGTATATTTACACCTGGAAAAACAAATGTTATGAATATTTTAAAAGAATAATTGACCTCTAATAATTTATTAAAATATGATTACTATCTAGTATGTATTAATCACAGTAGTATATTAAACATTGCAGTTTCATAATTAACCATGTAAGACATGATCCTGGGTCTCAGGAAGATTACATTTCATAAGTTTACACTGAATACATCTAAAGAATAAATGTTAGTTATTGAGACAGAGACAACTGAGAGAAATAGCATTAAGTTTTAATTTTTAAAAAGCATTCATTGAGTTAGTGAAATCTAAGAAAAAGTAATCTCTTTTATCTTCTGTTTATTTTTTTCTGTTGCTTTTTCCCATTAGTATTTGGATAGGATGCTAGGTTAAGGAAAAAACTATTTCATTGCTTTTTGACCATATGTGAGTGAATATTTTGAAGGTACCAATGTTGCAGAAACATTTTTCTTCCAAATGAAATTAGGAGAAAATTCAAGATACATTTATTAAGATGCTATTCAGCAGGATGGAGGCATGCTTTTGTTAAAAAAAAAATTCAATTAAACATAGTTAAAGGCACAGGAAGACTGATTGGATAATTCCTTCCATAATGAAGGATCTTTAGGCTTCTCAGTATTACCTATTTCCCTTGCATTCTAAGTAGTAGCTTCTGAACCTCTTCAAAGCATTTTGTATTTTTTTATTTCTCAGGGTATAAATGGCTGGATTTAGGAGAGGTGTAAAAACATAGTAAAACACAGCAAGAAATTTGTTCACCCAGGTGATGCTAAGTGGCCACACATAGATGAAGATGGAGGGCCCAAATAAAAGCACCACCACTGTGATGTGGGCAGTGCAGGTAGAGAGTGCCTTAGAAGCCCCACTTTTACAGCTTCGGTGGACAGTGAGAAGAATATATGTATAGGATGTCAGTACTAGAATAAAGCATGTTACAGCCAAAACCCCACAGTCAAGGTTCATTAAAATGTCTAAACTATAGGTATCCATGCAGGCAAGCTTGATTACCAGTGGTCTATCACAGAAGAAGCTGTCTATTTCCTTGGGACCACAGAAAGGCAGCGGAACAATCATAACTATTTGGCTCATGGAATGAACAAAGCCAGTGATCCAGGAAGTCACCACCAACCGAATGCACATTCGTAGGCTCATAATGGTGGAGTACCGGAGTGGTTTGCAGATTGCCACATAGCGGTCATAGGCCATTACCGCCAGTAGCACCATCTCAAACCCTGCAATAAAGTGAGCAAAGAAGATCTGGGACATGCAGCCTCCAAAGGAAATAGTCTTGCTTTCCTTGAGAAAGTCTGCTATCATCTTAGGAATGGTAATTGAAGAAAGCCACATATCAACAAAGGACAGATTGGCCAATAAGAAGTACATGGGGGAATGGAGATGGGAATCGGTGATGATTAAGACCATGATGACAATATTTCCAGATACAATGATCAGGTAAAACACTGAAAATATCATTACCAGTAAGACCTGAATATTCCATGAGTGGCAAAGTCCCAGAAGCACAAATTCTGACATTACAGACTGATTTCCTTCATCCATTTTTTCAACGTGTCTTCTAAAATAATGAAGATAGAAAAATAGATTATTAGTTAGGGATGAGAAAGGGTCTTAAATTTTTGAAATTTGGTGTCCACGTTGAAATTTAGCACCCATATTTGAGAGTGAAAAGCATAATTGTGAAAGAAATGTTGGCCATATATATATATATATTGTATTATGATCAAAAGAGAAGCTGACTGCCTAAGATTGGCTTTCCAAGAAACAGAGCCTGAGATGAGATAGTTATGCAAATGCTTTACTGAGAGGCTAGAAAGGAGTGAGGAAATCAGAACTGCGAGTAAGATTTAAAAAGATCGTGGTATCCCCTCAGTTAGCCTCAGTCCACTAACACTGTGAAAAGAATGTAGGTGGAGCATCAACCACAATTATTATGGTAAATAATTATAGTTAGGTCAACCACTTAGGAAGGTGAATATAAACTGATACTGAAATTCAATACAAATGACATAATATACAATACAGTTTCTCTGTACAGACATTGTTTTATTAAATTTCATTTTATTGCCTTTTTCAGATATTGCTTTTTTTTTTTCCCCCACAAATTCACTGTCTGTGGCAACCCTGTGTAAAGCAAGTCTTTTGGCATCATGTTTCCAATAGCATGTGCTCACTTTGTGTCTTTGTGTCACGTTTTGGTAATTCTTACAATATTTCAAACTTTTATAGTATTATATTGTCTGCTATGGGGATCTGTGATCAATGGTCTTTGATGTTACTCTTGTAATTATTTTGGGGCCACTGCAAACCGTGCCTATATAAGACTTAGTTGATAAATGTTGTGTGTATTGTGACTGCTCCACCAACTGGCTATTTTGCTCCCTCTCTCTTTCTCTCTTTAGGCCCTGCTATTCCCTGAGACGCAACAACATTGAAATCAGGCCAATTAATAATTCTCTAGCCACTTCACACCAGTTAGAATGGTGATCATTAAAAAATCTGGAGACAACAGATGCTGGAGAGGATGTGGAGAAATAGAAACACTTTTACACTGTTGGTGGGAGAGTAAATTAGTTCAACCATTGTGGAGGACAGTGTGACAATTCCTCAAGGATCTAGAAATAGAAATGCCATTTGACCCAGCAATCCCATTACTGGGTATATATCCAAAGGATTATAAATCATTCTGTTATAAAGACACAGGCTCCCAACCTTCAGCAACAACAATCATGATTAGTTAGAAGTCATTAACTTTGAAACAAGACCCTCCACCAGCAAAAATATGACAACTTATTGAAGGATTGGATAACTGTTAGCATTTTTTTTGCAATAAAGTATTTTCAAATTAAGGTATATTTTTTAGACATAGTGCTATCACGCGCTTATTAGACTACAGGATAGTATTAACACAATTTTATAAGCACTGGGTAACCAAAAAATTCCTCTGATTCACTTAGTTGCAATGGTCTGGAACTGAATCCACAATATCTGTACTATGTATAATGGTTTATTCAATCCTCAGTTGAACCTTTTCTATAAGACATTATAAAGTTAAATTTGTATCTTACCTTTCTAAAATATGTGGTGGAATAACCTTTAGGAGACAAGCTACATAGAAAACCATATACTAAATATCTTGGCATAATAATTTGCATGCAAAACTAGGCACATAATTGATCATTAATTTAAATCTACAATATAATAGAACTTATTTAATAAAAAAAGTTGATTTACAAAATGTCAGTGGAGTCCCGTCTAGAAAAAGATTAAATGACCTCAAAGGCAATCAGCCTCAGAAACTCAACTGATGAATTTTGAAGAGTCTTTATAACTTAAGCTTATCAACAGAAAATATTTACCTTCAAATATATGAAAGTATGCTGAGAAATTTCTATGCTTTGAAATATTAACATTTCTTGATTAGCAAGCATAGAAACTTAATCTACATTTGTAAGATGAGAATAGATTACATACATGTGTAAGCAAACTATATTTTTGAGTTTAGTGCTAAAGGGACATGAGGTTAAAACTTAAGCAATTATTGATTATTAATCTTTAAATACAGTAGTGATATTGCTTACATTGATAACTAAGTGACAATGACTCTCAAGTTGGATGGTGGAAAGATAATTACCCATTTTCCTTCACTATTTATTATTTCACTCCATTTGGCATTGTTTCAGTTTTTGTATGTTTTATGTTCTTTTATCCTTTGAAATCTCCAAGATGGTACTAATGAGCACAGGTAAGGAAGGAAAAACATTACTGCATCTTGAGCACTAGTTTCCTTTTCCCTTTTTCTGAGGACTCAGAGACATAAATTAAGGACAACAAGAAAGAAAATTCTCCTAAAGGAAATTAGGTATCGCATTTGTTTGCTATGGGTAAAGAGACATATGATAATAGCGTAACAATTTACAAACAGATATATATCCATAATAGATTAACCTAATTTATAATGAAAATATTCTGATATTCCCTATAAATTCTCGCTTCCTGAGAAACTTGAACACTCTGACGTTCCTTCTTGAAACTCTTTATCTTATCAGCAACAGACTTTTTCAGATAAGTTTTCAGTAATTCATTCTGTACCTGTTGAATAAGTGACAGAGAAGATAGCTAATAGAGGAATCAGGACTCCAGCTGCACCAAGAGAGGAATTTGCTTAAAAAATGAACATGTACATTCCTAGGGAACAGTTCTTCATTAAGAAATAATGCTGCTTTCTTTATCAGTTTTGAAATTGTTAACTTTTCATATTAATGAACTCTGATACTCTATTAATATTAACCAAAATTTAGCTGAATTAGTTGAACAGCCATATACTTTTTGGTCAGACTTCATCTGAAATCTTACTCTATAACTACTTAACCCTGTGACCTTGAGCTAAACCAACTTCTGTGTCAATTTCCTCATCTGTAAAAGGAGGACACTCATCTAATAGATTTGCTGTGGAGATGAATCAGGAAGTATACAAACCACAGAAACTCTCTTAGTATACAACAATTGTTACATAAATATTATTTCCTATCTATTCATTAAGTGTGATTTTAAAGCAGCAGTTTGCAAAGCTTCTTGGCAACAAATTTATTGCACAGCTGAGCACTTTCTATAAGCAAAATACATATGATAAACTCTCTTTAAAATATATTCCATTTACATTTTCTCTAAATTAACATACCGATACCCAACAACCCTATAGGATATACAGATGTAAAGAACATATCAGACATGTCTCTTGTTTTCCAGGAATGTAACAGTTTTTTCACCCTTAATCTTCCTTTCCAAACAGGGGTTATTAATATGATAAAAAGACCTAGAAGAGGACATAGAAGATTCTGTTAATTACATTTAAGAGTTTCGGTTCTCATGGATGACTTTGAAGGGTTCCAGATTTCAGCGGAAGAAGTAACTGCAGAGTTTTCTTCCATATCTGCACTAATTTCACTTATTCAATGTTTAGCACTTTTTACTTCTATCTCTATGCTAAAAGTTATCTTACACACTATACTGTCTCTCTAATATGAAAAACTTTATTCTCTTAAATAGGAGGAATCAGTTGAAAAGGATCCCTGGAAGCTTCTCAGAGTAGCCAGCAAAGAACTGAGATTTTCAAAAGCAGACGTGAGAGCATCTCACAGGCAGTGCATTATGTCGATGGGTGCACTGCTGTTGAAGACACCATGGAAATTCTGGTAAGAATATGACAGGAAGAGAAAGCCTGTGAATTATCTTCTGAAAATATCAAAAGCTAAAAAATTCATTCTCAACTCCAAGCATTGTGGGCATGCATGAAACAGATACATAAAAATATTTTAAGACTTAGTTTCTTAAAAAAAAAAAAGAAAGAAAAAGAATTGGAAAGATGAAATGACTTACACAAATTTTCTCTTAGATCAATGTCTTTTTTGTGTTTTCTTCTGATGTGTGTTTGAGATGATGTCCACTGCTGAGTAGAAACAATATTTGTGGTAGTGCTTTCTCTCAGCCTGACATATATTCACCAACTGAAGTGGTCCCTTGGGTGTAATTTTCCTATTCTATGTCTCAGGAAAACAGGAATCATAGAAATAATTTACCTTGGATGTCTCTTTGGGATTTCTTTGTTAAGAGTAATAGCAATTGTTGTATACTATAGAAATCAGAAAAAAGAGACAAAAAAAACCTCATCTAAATTAGCCAAGCATTAATATTAGTGGTTTTAAAATAATTATTCACTTTATTTTTTGTTTTTGTGGGTACATGGTAAGCGTGTACATTTACAGTATACATGAGATATTTTAGAACAGGCATGCAATCTGGAATAATCGTATTATTTATTCTTTATTTGACCTGTAAGTATTAAGGATGTGTCTTCTCCAATATTGATCTGTAACTTGATCTTGATCTATATAGTCAGATTAAATTAACATTTTAGTTCTGGTTGCAAGATAAATCATATCCTATTTGGTGTGACATGTGTCCATCAATAAAAACATCTGATATGGATGGAGTGTCCTAATGCACGCCAGTATTGTCCAAATAGGCAAGTACTCTTGGTCAGCTAATTGATGTGTTTCAATATCTGTGATTGAGGCCCTCAACATTTATATGCTGAATGTTAAATTATTAAAATATCTTTTGATTTTCAAAATAAGGATATTATGGTTAGATTAAGATACATTCATTTTGACTTTTTAGATTTGAAAATGACTTCATTGTAGTGTAATTGATATTTACTAACCTGTCCATATTTAGGTGTACAGTTTAAAGAGTTTTTGACATATATATTCAACAGTTAAAAAGGCTGTCACTGTTAAGTAGTGACCATATCCCTCCAAAGTTTACTTGTCCCTTGATATCACTCCTTCCCTTCCTTCCACACATTTACCATCCCCAGACAACCACTAATAAATGTCTATTATTATTTATTAGCTTGCGTTTTCTGGAGTTTTAACTAAATGGAATAAGGACATATATACTCTTTTTTTGATCTGGCTTCTTTCAGCATACTTATTTTCATATTTGTCACATCATTGTATACCTCAATAGTGCATTCTGTTTTA